CATTGCTCAGAAACCCTATATACAGGGTCGTTATGATTCAGAACCAACTCAATGGCACTTAACAACAACAAAACAAGATACTAGAGTTAGGCCCTCTGTGCAGAAAACAAATAAACCCAATTAGTGGAATAAGTTGTTTTAAATACTTTCTTCTTCCATGATAAGAAACAATACTCAATTAAAATTGATTAGAAAAAATCCTCAATTTAGCTTTATAGAATACATATAGATTAATAGAATATATGTTTAATAAAAGATATAATAGTGAGAGACCTACCATTTCAAAAATGTGGTTTCAGATACTTTTGCTCAGTCCTGACTCCTTCCATCAAAGAACTAGAATGAAATTAGACAGGCAAAAATAGTTAAAACTATATGTATACAAACTCTATTACACAGAAGTTAGCAAAGTAAATTTTAGGTCAATAAAAAATTTATGACAGCTAGAAGCATATTTAACCAAGTATTTCATTTCACAAAATAACAATATGATCTCTGACAAAATGAAAAGTATATGACATGAGAAATCAGAGGTTACCACAGGAAACAGAAACAATGAGACTTGGACGGTTCTAAGAAATAAGATAAGGAGACAGGAAATCAAGTGTATGTGAGGCTTTGAGGTAAAATCTTTCGACACAGAGATCAATTGTAGGATCTATGATTGCCATGTGGTTATGCACTGTGATTTTGTTGTTGTTGTTAAGTACCATGGAGTAATTTCTGGCCCATAGCAACCCTGTATAGGGTTTCTGAGGAACAGCTGATGAGCTTGAACCTCAAACCTTGCCGTTCAAATGGCTTTGCAGTCTGGCACATTAACTCATAGCCCCGTGCAATGAGATAAAATGTATCACCACATTAAATCATGTTGATTACATCAAGAGACTCTACTATAGCAAGCAATAGATTGCCAAGTTTGTTGGCTTGTTTTGTTTGCTGTTTCCATTATTTTGTCGTTAATTCAAATAAGGTATGTGATTACATGTGTTTTTATTGTTAAGTGCCGTCGAGTCGGTTCTGAACCATAGCGACCCTGTATAGGATTTCCGATGAGCAGCTGTTGATCTTGAACCGCCATCCTTGCAGTTCAAACGACTTTGCAGCCTGGCGCATTAATCCACAGCGCCATGTGCGACATGTACAAATCCAAAGATCAAGCTATGTGGTAAAAGCAAAACACCGTGTGTGTGTGTGTTTTCTTTAGGTATACTTTTACATTAAAAGAGAGAGCAAAAAACGAGAGCACAGACCTAGAAATACTTAAGGTATATTTTTTACTGTTGTTAAGAACTGTCGAGACGGTTCCGACTCATAGTGATCCTGGATAGGATTTCGAAGAGTGCCTGATGAGTCTGAACCACGGAGCTTGTGGTCCGGTAGATTATCCTATTTGTTATTGTTGTTGTTAAATGCCTTCTAGTCTTTTCTTATTCATAGTGATCCTGTATAGGACTTCAAACGGAAGGTCAGCAGTTCGAAACTACCAGCTGCTCCGCGGGAGAAAGATGAGGCGATCTGCTCCCGTAAAGATTTACAGCCTCAGAAACCCTATTCAGGGTCGCTATGGGTCGAAACCGACTCGACGGCACTTAACAACAACAACAACAACATAGGACTTCAAAGGAACGGCTGGTGAAT